CCTTTTTATAAGCAGTTGCTCCCAAAATATTCAGTGTTACAGGTCAAAGGTGTACTTTATATATTACTTTAGCTGGGTTGATACTGTGAAATTCATTATCCAATTTTATTTCTTTGAAGCTTAGTCTGTGTTTTGACTAATTCAGGAGTATTTCTACAGTCAAACATCTTTTACTGGAGAACGTGAATAATGCTGCCAACGCATCAATGTTCCCATCAACGCGCTCTGAAATTTCGAAAATAACTGCAAAATAACTCGGGATGTGCTAACAATATTGTCTTGAAGTTATAGAAAAATGCAAAACGATGGGCGAGAATTTAATGCGACTGGCGCAACCCACAGCCCAAAATCCGTTAATTTCGAAAAATTGACAAACCGCTGATAATGCCGCTTCATCTCCCAGTATTTTATTTTCAGCTTCGTCTTCGGGCACTTCGTTGCTGTTAGGACAAATAGAGACAGTGCAATCCTGTATCAAAGGACCAACTGATAATTGGATAGAATCTTCTGGAACTGACGTAGGGTCGTCACTCCCATCCATACTTTCGCTGATATTCTCAACATCCAGGTTAGATGCAGAATTCTATAAATCCCAAACAATTACAGTGAAAAATATAGCACTGCTGCTAATTTTTCTGTATTAAAATCTGAAATTACCTCATCAGAACTTATTCCTTGAATTACTTCGAGCTCTTCTGGCAAAAGGCCACATCCATCGCACTGGCATTCCAATAAACAATGCGTTTCACATTCGGCCTCATCACGAAGTGTAAAGATATCTTGCAATTCTTCATCAGAGAAATGCGTAAATGCTGAAATTTTAAATTTCATGCGGTTTTGGAAGAAATGCCATGATATGTAAGAGAGGACATTTCTGCACAAGTCCACTGAACAGTATAAAAAGACCTGCAAATGAATGCAAAATGAATGCAACTGTAAGAAAGTGCTTTTACAACTGCACTTTCTTACAGTTGCATTCATTTTGCAAAGCTAAAACTTACATTCGGCTGGGATCATTTCAACTACTGTATTGAGACTGCTTTTTTTGATTTGTCTTTGCAAAATCTTTTCATCCACAGTACCCTAAAAGTATGCTGTAATAGTATAAAATCAGCCCATTTATCGTAACGTAATAGCAATAAAGAATATAGAATTACGAACAGATTTTATAACGACCTGTAAATCTAAAATATTACCCCGGTAATAAGTCGATAAATATGACATGGACTTTTTTGTCCCTGTCGCCAGATACGAGCCATCACTTGCATATCAACAGCTGGATTCCAATCCGAATCAAACAAAATCATTCGACTAGCACCAACGAGATTTAAGCCAAGTCCACCTGTTGCAGAACTCATACAGTGTGAGATATGGAATGATAAATGTAATTCCAAAAACAGCCAAAACTAAGATATCAACACAAATCACCTGCTTTGGCACTCAACAAGAATGCGTAATTTTTATTTGATGAGGAATTGAATTCCTCAACAATTTCCATTCTTTTTTCGCTTCTGTTGAACCATCCAATCGCAGAACAGTATAAAACAGAGTTCGACAGAGCTCCTCCAAGAGATCAAGAGTCTAAAAAAAAGATACAAAAAAATTTCTTGTCGGTAGGGTCCTTTTTCTTTGTTCTAAGTAGCGCTTAATACTAGTAGTAAATATTCTTTAATATTGTTGAAGCAAAAAGTAAAGCAACTTAATATAGTAGTTTGAAAGATTTTAATATAAAAATGTAGATTCAGTTTAAATTTCGTTCACTTTTTCTGGCATTAAGAAACAGACCTGGGTGAAATTGGAAACAATGACTACTTTTCCTTCCTGTCCTCGAAATTTTCCCAGCAACTCGGTAAATACACTAAGTTTGCCTAATAAAATAATGAATGTTACATAAATTTTCTATAAAATAACTGAACTAACAGTTCTGGAAACACAGAGAATCAAAGGAAATTTTGTTGGAGAGATGAATTTACATTCAAAGAAACCGAAAATTATTAAACAATATTGGATACCTGAGTCAGTGACTGAAAGGGAAAAATCATTAAAAGTACTAGGAAACAATTGAAGGAGTGCGTTATAAAATTCTCTTTCTTCCACCTGAAAATAACTCTAAACTGTTCCTTTCGACAGTAAACAAAATCCTTTATGTAAATATGTGAAAAAGTTAAATTTGAGATGTAAATTCATCTTCAAATCAGTGGCAATCGCTTGATGACATGTTCATAGTTCTATGGAGCTCATAATTTAGAAGCACTAAAAGTTTGCTTTCTACATTCACAGAGATGGACAAGGCATTCAGTTCTCCGAGTGATAGGTACGGCAGTTCATTTAAATATAAGTCACAGTTAAATATAAGTCACGCAAACGGGGCTACTGATTAATTTATTAAGTAAAATAAACTACCTTACAAGTTTGAAGTTTCATCATGATACTCCGATAAAGAATGGATGGATGGTTACATAATTTTCGCAAGGCATCAATCAAAGTCAAGTGATCACACGAGAGGAATTTCTTCAAACGTTTATATATAGAGCATTGCAACGATGACGGTCGACACCAAACTATGTAATCAGCTATAAAATATTAACAGGTGAATGACTAATTTTTATATCATTCTTTTTATCTTCCTTATAAAAAGAGAGATCGTTCTCGAAAGAAGCAACAGTGAAACGGTAAAATAGCAGAGAAATTGCCTTGGCTATAAGATTTCAACTGCATGTAAGAAGATATACAACACTTTTAAACTTGACTGATCAATTTTTTTCCCATTACATCATTTTCTTTCTTAAATCATCTCTGGTCAGTGTAATTATTTGCTTTATTTAGAAATTTATTATAAAAATTATAAACTTTTCGGTGGTAACCATTCATGGATCACTTCAGCTGTCCGGCGAAGCATCACCTCGGCAAGTAATTCGTTGAAATGAGTTGGCTACAAAGTGTCTGTTTTTAAAAAGTCATTAGAATTGTGAAAATATTCCTAATTTATAGTATAAATATTTGACACTTGACTGATCGATTTATGTAGTTAGCTCATGTTTTATAAGCAATAGCTCTGCTAAATTATTTAACTGCATGTAGTTGTCTCTAAAGTTAGGAGAAAGGCTATTTTGCGAGGAGCTAAAAAATTGAGATAAGCATTAAACATCATTTGCTTGAATAAAGCATATGAATTATTTGTTAATATGAGATATCACATTTTATGCAATAGATATGCAACTACCTCGAATTCACAAAGATGTTTGAATTCCGAAAAACAACCAAAAAGATCTGGTCGTGCAAAGTTAACCAGTGAATAAAATTCCTCCAAATCATTTTGCATTGGTGTTCCTGTCAGCAATAAACGACGCTGAGCATGCAAAATTTGAAGCTAAAAATTTTGTGATTTAAAATTTGTCATACAGAGTTAAAATTTTAAAAGTCATACAGAGTTAAAATTTTAAAAAGTTATCCGTAATCGGATATACTTGTTCTCGGAGTCTTCCATTCAGATTTTTAAGCCTGTGTGCTTCATCGCAAACCAGCAGATCGATGGAAAGAAATGCCAATTTCGCAGCAGTACGTGCAATCATCTCATAACTAACGATGGCAATCACTGATGCATTCTGACACGAAATCAGCTTTTCTACATCTGCCGATTTCGAAATCCGGAACAGCTGAAAGATTTTATTTCATGATATCCGGAACGGCTAGCTCCTTTCCAGCAATAGTCAATAGAAAAAAAAAAAACCAATTGCTTGTGTCTGCGGCGACCATTTCATAAATTCTGCGTACCAGTTATTCAGCAATGATGTCGGTACTACGATGATACATTTCCGAATTACTGGTTTTTTGATTTAATCGCTTTTTGATCAAAGCGGTTATCAACGAAATAGTCTGCACACTTTTACCCAAACCCATCTCATCAGCAAGAATAGCTCCACCATGAGAGCCCTTCAAACAGATGTATTTAAGATTTTATACTAATATTTGAAGGACTTGACTGTTTCGAAAGGTCCATACAGTTTATTTCTTGAGTTAAAATTAAATTTCAGTTCGGTCCATGAAAAGAAAGCAAAAGCAAAACAAGTAGCCATGAATTAGTCAAGATTTAATGCGTACATCATGTTTTTAAACGAATGATTGGATTTAAATCCGTCGGAATCTGGGAATGATGGAACTCAAAAAGAGACCTTTAAACATTTGTATATGAAAGAGATGCCATCTTTTTGATGTGGTCTCAAACAGCTAGCAATGCGCATATCCACGGCGATTCGTCGTACAGAACCATTATCATCATCATTTGTCTAATATAATATTAACTTCGTAACTGATCATGGAATAATGATATATTTCTTCAAAAAATTACGGGGAAGATGAGTTATAGAATGTCATTCCATCTTGAATTACAATTATGATAGCGAAATAAATACCTCATCCAACACGAAGTCCAAAGGGTCATCTCGACCAAACAATGGTGAAATGAAATTTTGACCAGTATTTCCTCTTCCTTTTTTTGGATTCTCGTCATCTACTGCACTATTTTCCACTTCAGCAGTTGGTTGATTTTCAGTGTTTTTAATCCCACGAACTGCTGTAACCGCAGCAATAACAAACAAGATACTTGTGGCCTACGAAGAAGATTCCATGAAGAAATCTTGTGCAAAATGTTTTTAAAAAAGGAAAAAAGTACCAGGCTTCCGTGAGTTCAGTTCAGCTTGCACCTCCAATTCATAATTATTAACTTTCAGCCGACTGCCCCTCTTCAATTCGCTCAGTTGCTTTACTGAATAACCACTTGCCCTTGCAACTTCTTCACCATACTAAATGATTGGGAATTTGAATCAGTCAGAATAATATTAACAGTTTGAATAATGACACCAATAATCAGAATGAACAACGATATCATTGGGACGATGTCGGCCATTCAGCGTATCAATGTATTAAGTGTCAATCTCCTGAAACCGATGAATGACGCAAACCGTTGCGCGGTTCCATTTAATTTCCCATTGGTTAAGCTATTAATGTTCGTTAATCAGGATTGTTAAGATCAATAAGGAAAATATGTGATTTATTTCTGACACTAGCGCAGAAAAGATAACCTCCGTTTGCAATATAACCGAACGTTTCTGACAGTACAACAACCCATCATTTTGCCACCTTTTATGCATTCTTGAAGATATTTTCCCATAAAGTACTTCATAACAATAGTACATCCCTTCATCTATAAGCGAAATGAAGGAATTTTCCATAAAAATTTGTCTTTCATAAAAATTATCAATGATAATAGTGAAAAGAAGGAAATGAAACAGAAATTCGTAATGACGCAAAGATGTATGATGCAGCTATGACATCATTTTAAATCAAAGCAGATTTGGTCCCTATTCCTCTATATAATTCGAAAATATATCAAAAACGATTCGAAAGAAAAAGATGTTTTCTTTTCAACCAAATTCAGGCAAATTCGTCTCAACGGTAGCTACGGATGTGACAAATCATCTATTACCTTGGCTTGTTATGGTATCATCATCATCATCAGGCGTATTATATTCACAATGGCTAGAACATCGTATCATCGTTTCCTCGGTTTAAGACCTGCAACAAAAACCGCAGACAACGGCAAAAGATTATCTAGATAGTTAACGACGTGCCTCAGAATTCCTGGATAATGTTCTGGAACCAAAAACGTCAAATTTGTCCAGCATTCCGAAATCTTAACTTAAAAGAGAAATGGAAAAAATTATGCAAATTTCAAGATTCTCAAATTTCAAAATGAATCCAAATTTAAAAACATCATTGTTAAGTAATAAGGATGCGAAGCGCAGTCTGCTCAGCAAACTTTTGCTGGTGAACCGTCATTCCCCTCCCTTCCATCTGTAACATAAAGAGTGAAGGAGCAAATTTACTATCAGCTAAATTGAAAGAAATTATCTCTTAAACTTAACAAATCTTTTCTGTTCATTAGCTCATTTAAGAAATAACTTGTGCAGTTAAAAAATTTTTAATATTTGCACCTAGAAGACAATTTTCTTGCGACAGAACAAAAATTGATAAAATTTCAGACAAACAGCTGAAGACTGATAAATGAGGTCGGAAAATAAGGCATGATAAAGATTTATAAGACTCGCAAATGATAATAAAAGCAAAAACTAAGGAAATTCCACGTTATATAATACTCCTGCATATCGACGTATACACCACGGAAGCTACCAACACCACAGAATTTTCCCGATATTCCAAAATATTTTAAAATCAGTAAACCGTGAATTACCACATTGCCCACTTTCAATAAATAGTATGTATGTAACACAGCAGAGTAGTAATTCCCAACCTTTTCTAAAGGCTATTTTGGCTTTTTTATTTGTAGCGGGGACCAGGATATTCGAAATAAATAAATTCTGTTAAGTTTGAAAGCGAGCTCCAATCAAGACCTTCAACGTATAACGTTTTTAACGTAACGTTCGGCGTGATTTTTAACGTTATTTTAATATATTAGTTGAACTTGAACTTAAAATAACATTATAATATAAAAAGATTTTTAATAGGAAATTCAGTCTGATTCCCATCAATGTTATATTTGAGCTTGTATCATCTTTACAAGTTACGCAATTCTGCAGTTAATACTGTTGCTCAAAACTACACGCATATCATTATCACTTGCCGTCAGTCGTTTCCTGGCTTTGTTTTTAACTATAAGTAGACAACCCTTATTCGCTCAAGTAACTTCTAGGTAACAGATGATGCAAGGCGATTACTCGGATTGCCGTCTACTCATCGCTTCGCCGCCCACGCGAATCGGACTTCAATTCTCACGGACCACCTATGGTCCGTGGACCACGGTTAGGAAGCACTGCATTAGAAAAAGTGTATCAGGCTTGAAAATTGCGGGATGCTTGGTTAATTTCAGTTAAAATATTTAGAATCCCCGGAATACTGGTACTTTTTGGTAAAGACATTGCTAAAATTCAATTTATAATCGAAACCTCGAAGTTATAATCAGAATCTTACATACCAGGGTATAACGGTATGGGTAATATAGCGGTACCTGTCGGATCTTAATTATCCGCGATACATGCATGCATGATTTGATCATTTGCGATATCGGCATTCATGGATGCGACCACTGGCGATATTTATTATACAGCAGTTTTAAGTTAAAAAGTATGCGTTGACGGTAAGAAATCACTTAAGAAGCATAATGAAATGAAATTTACGATCTAATCAGGACTTATTTGACCAACAAAAAATAAGATCAAAAAGTGTCCACAAATGATTAGGTATGATGTGAAATAACACTTTACATCACACTTAATACCAATCCCTGCTCTGGATCTCGTATAATATGACTTCCTTTCAGACCTTAGATGATTTTTCCTTTGCGTAAATTAATAGCAAAAAATTGAACGTCAAAACTTAACTACATAGAAAACGGATTTCATTTGTGTCTATCACGCGAGGTTCCGATGCGGCTGTAAGTATACCCGTATACGCTTATTACCAACAATGTATTACTCGAAACAAAATTTAATTTTATTTATTAAATTGTAAAATTCCAGAAATTACAAAAGCATTATAACACCAGTTGATATATTGTTCATTAGTGTTAGTTCATACCCTATCAATCACGTCACCATAATTCACTTTGCTTAACGATATCAAAATTAAGGAGACAACACAAAAATCATTTCTTGATGGAAATCGATGCCAAGGAAATGGATGCATTCATAAGAATAAAGCAGGAATTTGTTACTTATCCCCTTTTTTTCAAGTATTGAATTTTTAATCCACCTGTAGATTACGTGTACTGCTGGATTGAAAATATCCTTTTATTTATTTTTTTTTGAAAAGATTCAATCCAAACAAAGAAAAAGAAACAAAAAAAAACGAATTTATTCGTAACAAATCATAAGACACTATAAAAATGTATTAATGAATGGACAATGATAATAATAATTAACAATAATAATAGTAATAATAATAATGATAATTAATGATTAACAATAATTAATAATTAGTAACTCGTAATTAATAATTGATAATAATAATAATAATAATAATAATAATAAAAATAAATAAGCAAAGAAAGAACCAGTGGTAATGTTTTAAATTTCCTAATATTTCTTGATGATAATCGACAAATTTGGAATTTTTTTTAGCTAGATAGAAAAATAAGGATGGGAAAAAAGTACAAGAAATTTGGTTAAAGAGTTCTTTTTTGTTTCAACATATCGAACAAATAACCTATTTTTTCCATTTATGTTGAAATTTAAAATGCATTTTTAAAAAATAAAAGTTTGAATGAAATTTAAAAATTAAAAAGCAAAAGTAATTTAATCTTTCAATTAGATAAAAATTATAATTTTATAAATATAACAATATGAGGATTCATTGAAAATTTTTCAGCAAAAACGAAAAACAGTAGTAACAAGACCATACTATGGTATAGAAGAAAATAATAATGTAACACTGTATTCACCGAGCAACAAAAAGAAAAAAGAAAGAGGAAGAAGGAAACATCAGCATCACACCCGTTTCCATGGATAATTTAAAACGAGGTGTAAGAACAAAATTTTTGAATTTCCATTTCAATTCGACAATTCGATTAATTGGTATAGAAATGTTTAATTTAAGCAGAAAGATTTTTTTTTTTTCCCCACAACATGAAACCATTCATTTATCTTTTTTTTAGATCGGATATTTAGACTAATTATTGTAACAGAATGAATTCTAGGAATATGGAAGTTCTTTTCCTTTCCTCTTTTTTCCGAAATATAATGAAATTTTATAAGCTAATTCTCGTATTAAGATGCCATCAAAAATTTCATGCTATCAATAAAAAGTATTAATTAAATCCTTTCCAAATTATAATATGAGCTTGGGTGAACAATTTTAATTTTATTGAACAAGAACAGAAGCAAATTATATTTGCACAGCAGCAATTACTGCAGATAGCAATGGCAAGTGAAGTGTTACAGAGTAAATTGAAGTACTAATTTAAGCAGAAATTGAATCATGAACAAAAAGTAATGAATAATTTACAGCATACATTTTATTTTTTTTTAATTATTTTAATTAAAAATGGATGATTCGTAAGTAACTGTCAATTATTTCAAGTTAAACTTTAACAAAATAAACATTCCAAGTCGTTCTACTCTTTTTCGTCTTCCAAGTTGTCTCAGGAAAATGTAAAATAAATTTTGAGCAAGGAAAGAGCATCAACAAATTATAAAGAATATTGAGAGTTTCGGTGAAACTAATACCTACTGAACTGTGTGAATTTTAAAAATTTAAATTTATCTTCAAATAAATTCGATTTTTCGATGCCTAAATTGAATGTATATTATTTGAGAAAATGAAGACAGAATTGGTATATTCTCGAAAATATAACCGAAAGATATGTAAAAAGCTTGCAACAATTATATAAAACTACTTACCATTAAAAAAAAAAAAAAAGAAAAAAAAAGGACAAAAATAGGGCATTGAAAATATGCCAGGAAATCCATGATTTGACGATCCTGTTGATGCCAATATATTAAATACATTCAATATTTACATATTCATAACCCTGTACGGGCCTTGCATCTTGAGGTACTGAAAATGAAAGGTCAAAGTTCATATGAATAAATAAAATATACATACATGCATAATTTTAAAATGATAATTTATGATTTCAATTTTGAATACGATTTAAACATTTCGTAATAATTACCTGGATAACAAGGGAAGGGCCACCCGCGGTAATTTCGGGAGGTATCTGTGATAACGGACAGTTTTCAATTGACATAATTTCAAGTGATGCACACAGTGCCAATTCAAATGGTAAATTGTGAAGCGATGGATTATCATTGATATAAAGACTTCTCAATGAGTCCAAATTGCCTTAAAATAAAGAATTGAAAAAAATAAATGCAACAATGAAATTTCTCAAAAATCTTGAAAATTTTAATTTTAATTGGTATAAAACATTTAAAATAAAATCGATTTTGATGAAGATTTGAATAATTTTCAAATACTTCGAAACTCAATTAATAGATATGAAAAAAAAAGAAAAAAGAGAGCACTGAATCAATATGAAAGAAAATTTGAAATGATGCAAAAAAATTCCTAATCAATGCAAATTGTAAAGTAGTTCAATTTTTCTTTTTTTTGTTAAATATGACTAACCGATCTCTTCGGGTAGTGATGTTAAGCAATTTTCGCCCGCTCGTAAATCGGTCAAATTGGTTAAATTGCTGAAGTCATTAAAATGATGGTAATTGAAAAAAAAAAAAAAAGAAAAAGGAGACGAAAAGTACAAAGGTGAACTCTATTTGAAATTTAGATTCAAAAATCAGAACTAACCCAATGGTTCGCGGTAAACCAACTAATTTATTTGATTGTATCCAAAGCTTTGTTAAACTTGTCACAAAACCTGCAATAATACAATCATCATTATTTTTCATACTAATGAAAGGTTAAAAAAAAAAAAAAAAAAGAAAAAAGAAAAATGAGAAGTTTTAACTTGAACTAACCAATTTCATTAGGTATTGCATCTAATTCATTTTCTTCCAAATCCAATTCACGAAGCTTTTTAAACTACCAATTTGTGATGGAAGCTTTTTGA